TTCTATGCCCGAGTAAGACCATTCCAAGAATTCCAAGATTTTCCTAGCCAAGTGATATATATATATACATATATATCCTTGGTATGTCATCATGTCATAGGTACACATTTGGCTATCTCATACCGTAGGTCGTTATGGGTAAGCTCATGGCCTTCGGCACAATGCACTGAGTCCTCATGTAAATGCGAGAACACGAGACGATAACAGTAGACAAGCAATTACCATAATTTCCAGTCGCTGCAAGCATAAATGGTTTAGCTTCAGCCGAACTTTAGCCTTGCAGGGGTGGCGATCGTCTGTGATGGTGCGTGAGCAGGGCAGCAGCAACTAGAGCTCATGCTGAGGGCGCTTGTTCAGCTTCTGATTCTGCCGATTCACGTTTATACGAATACTGGAACATATCTTCGTTGCAACCATGGGACTTTTCAACGTTCCATCGTTCCCGCTAAGCATCACTGTGGTGATAACGCGCTGCCTACTCTAAACTCTGCAACACATCAACCTCGGGCAGGTTGAGGCGGCTGCCTCTGACCTTCGTCTGCTGCGAGGGCGTGTGGACGACCTCGAGGCAACTTGTTTCAACGGCCTTTTTGGACTTGTGTGCGGCTTGCTTTCTGCATGATGCGGCTTGTAGACGGATTGGGGACAGGTGCTCTGCGCAGCGTGCCAATGTAATGGGTTGGCCATGTCACGCCCATGCAACTGTTTCCCAACGCCTGTCGGGGCAACTGCAGAGCTGTGAAGTCAAGAAAGCTCCCTCTCAGGAGAAACTCCATGGCTCCGGCCGTACGTTGGAGCTTCTCCAGGAGCACCGCCATCTCTTTATATGTTTGCTTGTCTGTCATTGGCACATGTCTGTCAGGCGCAAAGTGTCCAGATGTATGAGGCTGGCTGCCGGGAAGCGAGTGGACCCGTAGCCCTTCATGCTACTCCTAGCTGACTCAACACAGCCGCCGGCCTTCCAGTACAATTTCCTTCTTCTTCTTCTTCCAAACCTTGGCAAAATGGATAAGTGTAGCGGGTCGCTGTTGATCTTTGAAGTACAGGGTCCATCAGCCCCTGTCATGGCATAAGGCATCACAGTCCGACCGCCACGATGCATTGGAGCAGATGCATCGTAACTGGGCTGGATCTTACTAGGGGGTTTCGAGTCTTGGAGTGACTGCAAAGAAGCTTCGCCAGTATCATTAGTTACCAATCTTTACCAACCTAGCTTCTTTGAAGTAGCATGGCAGGGGCTCTCTCGTGCGCGTGGGTGTGTTTGAAACTTGTATTTGTGCTTGAAGCTGCAGTTACAAAACTTTGCTGCAGAGTCTTGGGATCATGAGGTCTTGAAGGTCGAGCACTGCGGCTGGAACAGGCAAGAGGATGTGCAGACATCAGGCAGGTTTTAGTAAATCTTCGTATCAACATCTAAATACCTGTTTCTGGATGTTGCGCAGTGGCAACGACCGGAGCGGAGCTGATGTCAAAGTCATCAGGACCCGGGGATGCCAGGCACTGTTGCAGGACCCAAAAACACGCCAGTGGACGACAATCTCACTGTAAACTGTTTGTGCGGGTGCTGATGCGTGCAGGCTTTGGCAGAGGGACGCAATGTGGTTGAAGCAGCCGCCCAGCCAAAAAAGCAAGCAAAATCCCGGACACTAGTTCAGGAATCGATGTTGCCGTAGGCTGTGCTTCTTGAGTTTTCTGTGGCCTAACGCTTGCACTGCAAAGAGGGAGTGAGGTGTGTACCGGCGAAGGAGCTGCCGCGTATTCGGCTCCTGAGTATTGCAGTGACCGAAACAACACCTTTTCCCATCTATACCCAGGACATGTCCAGACTTCGAAATGAGCTCTCTCTGGGGGTGCCTGGGCTTCATGAAAAGGAGCCACTATGTCAATCACCCAGAAAGACCAGCTGACCAGCCTGTGGGTCAAAACCGACACGCCCTGTTATGCAGAATTTGGCTGAGGTGCAAGATCTTGGCCAGCGTGTAGACGATCGACTGAGGGTTCTAAAAGAACGTTTCGACGAGCGGCTGCACGCCCTCCAGGCCAGGGTCACTGGAGCCAGCTCGATCCAATTTTCTTTGCAGGGGAAACGGGTGAGATCCTGTAGGTTCTGAGTGGTCTTACTTTGCAGTTTCTCCAAGAGGGATACTTAAGTTAAGCCAACCAGAGGCCGAGGCATCAAAAGCCTGTTGACCGAATGTGCAACTCTTGCCCCGCAGCCACTCCAAAATATCGGCAGTAAGACAATGAGAAGTCACAGTAGTCGCCTTCCGGACAAACAGCCGTCCGTGGTTGCACTGGACCCCTTGTTGAAGGCGGCCTCCAGTGATGAGGCCACGGTGGTCATCCGCGAGGCTGCAGCTGAGGGCTCAGGAAAGTGTGGGATGGAGAGCCCGTTGTGGCATTGGGAAAGATGTTCGGGTTCGACAATGGGCCGAAGCGCCTTTCTTTCATGGGTGGAACTGGGAGTACCGGGTTGGAGCTGACTAATTGAGCTACGAGCCAGAGCAGGCTCAGGCAACTTGCGTGCGCTTGGCTGATGACGTCTTGGGCGTGGCAGAAGGCTCACAGAAGCCTGGCCGCACTACTCCAGATGTTCGAGAGGGTTCAAGGACGCCGGTTTCAACCAGACCCAAGACAAAACCTGGATGCCGTGACCAGGAGGCACACGGGGCAATTCAGGCACTATGTTAGTTTACCTTTACATTCGTTCACCTCATTCTCAGCAGTTGTCGTTACGGCAGACCACTGTTCAAAGCACTGGCCACTCGGATTTCGAAATAAAACGGGAGCAAGATCGGAGCTGACAAGCACAGAACAAGTAAAGTGCCACCATGAAAATTCCCCATCATGACGGCGACTGCATGCAAGGCCTTCAGCGCTAAGAGAAGAACACGCCCTGGCCCACCTTGACGACAGGGGGTGAAGCCACAGTAGTCAGTTGTAACTCGACCACTGTCAATCATCACACGCAGAGCAAACCCGCAACAACTCCAGATCCAAGGTTCTGCAACCATCCGTTCTTATGACCTAGGCAATGCCTAATACATTTTGATGCGGCTGGTGTACGGGACTGCCTTCGATGCGTGAGAGTCCGGTATAACTTGAATAGGTTTTCCGTGGTCCGTGTTGGCATATACAAGATAACAAAATACATTATAACAACATGCGAGGGAGAGAGAGAGAGAGAGAGAGAGAGGGAGAATGTGNNGTGTGTGTGTGTGTCTGTGTGTTGGTTGTGTATGTGTGGCGCGTGTTGAGGAAGAAGGTCGAGGAGCTGGCCGGGCAAGTAGGTGCGTCGCAGCGCCGTCTCGAAGACTTGGAGAGGCAGACAGAGGCAGCGGGGGGGGGGGGGGGGGC